TTTTTTTTTTTTTTTTTTTTTGAAGAGAAGACAATTCGTTGTTGTATTTTGTATAAAATGAAGGAACAGAAATCAGCGTCGACAAAACAATAATTAAGGATGGGAGGATGTGCATTAGGGGAAACATTAAATCAAACATTGATAAAGTATTTTTTAGGGGATGACAATAAGGAGGAGGAAAGGGTTTGGAGAAATCACATAACGCAGAAAACGGAATAAGAAGGTAGTTTGTCATTTTGCGACGATAAGCATTAAAAAAACACAACAATAAAAAATAACAAAATATTGAAAACAAAAAAAAAAAAGAAAAGAAAAAAAACATGAGAAAATAAAGCTTTATAAGCAAACCAACACTGTTGGTTTGATTATTCTTCTTAGTTTATTAATTTTCTTTCTTTTTTTTTTGTCCACTATTGGAAAACTTCATCAACAACTTCACATTTTTCATCATCAACACATTTCCATATAAGTTTGTCTAATTTTGTGCCGTATTTTGCATGCAGATCATTCTTGCGATAAAATTTTGCTTGCATCACTCGTCTCCACACCTTTTGACATGAACCGGAATGCTGAAAAATGATACGTTAATGGGCTGTCGCCTATGGATTCCACTTACTCAAGAAAATTTTGATTCATACTTACAGTTGCTGTTGTTGTTATTTATTGAACGCCATCACCATTAATAATAGCAACATGACCAAAAAGTCAGAAAAAAATTTTTTTTAGTTTTTTTTTCACATTTTTCTAACATTTGTAAAAATGATTCCCAATTAACAGTTGAAACTGAATTGGTATAAAAAATTTGACGAGCAACTGGGCCAAATAATTGTATTGCTGCTGATGTTGTTGCCGCTGTTACAGTTGGAGCAACTTTTTTGTTTATCAGAAAGACAGTTCAACCAAATTTTTCTTGAGCATGTTTAAACAGAGAAGGCCCTTGGAGAAAGATAATGCATCCATCTGTCACAAGGTTGACTAACAGGAGCAGATGATACCAACTGAATGAGGAAAAAAGCTGCAGTTGGCTGCAGGAGTTTTCAGGAACAAAGTAGGGTGTGCTGGCCGGGCAGTTGTCATGGGAGTGAAGGAGAAGAAGAGTACAAAAAGGAGGAAGGGAAGATACGAGTGGAATTTACATGTGGATTTATCTGTGATAACTAAACTGTTTATGGTCTAAGACTAAATTGCTTCCCGTCGATATTGCTTTTTCAATTTTTTTTATATTTAGACGGTCCTTATTCATTGGCCTCAAAATAAAAAAAACTACTTGAGTTTTTGCAGAATAACGACAACACATTGCACACTGTCTGAGTGAACGTTAAAAGCACAATTTATCTTTTTAAGAAAACAGTATAACTATGGTAAAAATGTACTTTGAAAGAAGTAACTTGGTCATTTTTTTTATTGTTTTTGTTGTGCTGAAAACTGATGACGGCAAAGAAGAATAGAATAGTTGTTTTGTTTTTACAAATTAAAAAACGGCAAAAATTTTATTTGTTTGTTAGCTTTTTTTTTCGAAACAGCAGTCCAAAAATTCACCGATAAGTGGAAACAAAGAATATGGAAAGGGAGAACAGCTGAAAACAAAGATAGAGGAAAAATGAATAAATGAGCAACTGCATGACGAAAGGAGGAAAGAAAGAAAGAAAGAAAGAAAGAAAGAAAGAAAGAAAGAAAGGAAGGAAGGAAGGAAGGAAGGAAAGAAGGAAGAAAGAAAAGAAGAGCAAGAGAAAAGGAGGAAAAATAAAAGTGGATCTATGAAAATTAGTAAGCTGTTTGGCTAAACCACACCATCGTTTAGTTCGGTCCACAGATCGCCAAAAAATGCACGGCAAAAACATAGATATAAACCCTAACAGTGGAGCAAAAGGCTTATTTTTTTAAACCACCAAATGAATAAATAAAAAATTTTATTCTTTGTAAATAAATAAAGAGTGGCAAAAAAATGTTAAGGCAATAAATTTCTATAAGATACAACCGTTCTGTTTACTCAGTTGTTTTTTCCTGATATTCCAGTCAATACGCCTAAACCATTTCAGTATATCTCACTTTAGAACGCTCAAAACTAAATAAATGAGGACAACAAAATACACATACAAGAAAATAAAAAAAAATAAATAAGTGAATAAAGGAAAACGAAAAAAAAAACAAAGAGAAAAAACCCTTTTTCTGTTTTTAAATGTATGTAAGAAGAAGTGTGCTCCGGGGGAAGAAAAAGAAAGAATGGAAGTTGTTTTTTCAGTCGTTTAAACAATGTAAATGCAGCTGTTTTTTCTGCGTTTTCTTCTTGTTTATTTATATGAACTAAGTTTTTGCAAAATGGAAGTCGAAAATGGCAAAAAAATGAGTTAGCTATCGTAGTGGACCCAGCATAATAGGATAAGAACTCAGAAAGAAAGACTTGTCTCATTTCTTTGTAACTTCTCCAACTTCTTCTTCGCCTTACCCCATCTCCTCTCCTTCCCGCTCCTTCCACGCGAATAGCCAACGCACTCTTTATTCCATTCATCAAATGTTTTTGACGCATGCACATATATCAATGCTGTATATCATATACTTCAGTGAGAGTGTTCATTTTAGGCTGAGTGTTTACAACTTTTGAAAATCTACAAACTGTGCCTTCTTCTCCAGTTTATTATCCATAAAGTTGCACATTTCTCTCCTTAACTTTTCTGGAAACTATGTTATAGAGCATAGTATGAGATGGTCTAAAAAAATCTCAAGGGAGGGTAAGGGTGTGGTGAAGATGGGGGCAGTAGTTTCGACAACTACCATAGTAAAGAATGAAGGGAAAGGAAGCACTGCTTTAGGACTTGGTTTGCAGTACAAATTGATGTGCAGCAAAGAAAAAAGCAAACCGATATATTGACTTTCGTTTCCTTCTTTTTTCAGCTGTTTCCTCAAGTTTCAGTTGTTTTCCGGTGGATGTACTTGGATTTGGCTGGAAACTTTGGTGACCCTAATTTGGTGTGGGGAAAAAGTAAGCTTGGATGTAAGGGACGCAAAATATAATATTTTTGGCTGTTGTCTGAACACTTTTTTTTGGTTTTTTTCGTCCGTCGTTCTGCAGATTCATTCCTTGTTTCTTCACTTTCTGTTCCT